AGGCCTTCTACGCAAGCCAACGCCCTACCTACTTGAGCTACGAATGCCACGCCTCACACCGTGAGTTTAATCACACTTGGAGCAATATTACCCGCCCAACTTTGCGGGTACGAATCCCGCCAAATGCCGCGTTTTTTTCACAATTGGGTCAACTAAACTAACCAAATCTGCCAAACCTCCTTAATAATTTCTGTTATTCTCACACTTCAACAACCCTATGCTCTGCTGAACTGCAGAAAAGGAATGACCACATTAACAATAACAAGGACTTTAAACATTAGGTATGTTGGAATACAAGAAGGGGCGTTCTAATTGGGAGTGCATCAATATACTATATGAATATGCACCAACTGCAATCCTGAAATGAAGTTCAAGGCAAAACAAAAAGCCCAGCTTACATCTAAGTTGACGTTATTTGCAGTCAATAGACGTTTGGTGAGAGCTACAGCCTCCTCGGGAGGGAAACATTTCCATAAGCCATCGCAAGCAATCAGAAGGAACCTAGAGGGAAAGAGGAGAAAAGAGAAAGGTTAATAAGAACAAAGGGGCGAACAGAGTTTCTCCTTTAACCTATGGTCCTTGGCTCTGAACATCATTTTCTTAGATGAAGGAAGTTTAAAGACTCCAGGAAGGCAGGGTAGAACAGGATAAGTAACCACGGGTCGTCTCATGCATAGGGAAATCAGCGAAAGATTAGAGGGCGTGAGTACTGTAACACAAAAGTTCTACTAGCTGAACGAAAGTTAATATCTTTAACGGTGTAGGAGAAATTCCGATAAAGATTAAGGAGAATGGGACAGCCAGTCACGGCACGACATATCGAACTTGGAACGCCGGGCTACCTGTGTGGTAGAGTAGATTCCTCTCTACAATAGAATTGGTCAAGCGTCGTTTTCATGGCATGTAGTCTCCAGATCCCAATCGAGAAAGCATGAATTCAGGGGCTCAAGTGAGAGACCCCTTACTTGTGCTTGTTACGGCTGTGATCATGCCTGAGCTAGCCGGCCTCAATGATGTCACGGACGGTACCTCTCCATGTGTGACGATTGGCGGCAGCGGATCTGGAAAGCCCCACCCAGGCTCTTCTCCAGCGACGGAGACCGAAGGTTCAAAAACTGCTTCTATATGTTGACGGACGGTGTCGAGTCAAGTCTTCAGTTGCCCTCCTCTTTGACACCTCCAGGTGGGCTGCGGCGCCGGATCGAGGGCAGCATAGCAAAGCTCGTGGAGCGGACAACGGAGGACGTGCCCAAACCACCCCAATCACCTTTCTTGAATGGCCTGAGATATCCTCGCGATACGATCGCAACGAGTGTGGACTGTCTCATTCGAGATGAAGTCGGTATACTTAACTCACAGGGTGGTCCTCAGGCAGCGGTATTCAAAGACCTCTGGTCTTCACTCATCTTCAGCACGCAAAGCCGAACATTCACATACATAGAAGAGGAATGAGCGGATGGATGCACGGTATACACGAATCTTTGTGGCGATAAAGATGTTAACGCGAATGAAAAGGCATAAGAAAAAAGCAACGAACCCATTCTTTCTTACGATCCGATCACGGAATGGTAACTGTCATGTTATTAATGGCTTATAGCAGTCGAATGGCAATTCTGTCTATGATGCTAGATGACAGACTTCAAAATGATAAGGCTTATTTCTACACTGCGAATACGACCCTATTATTGATAACTTACCTAGATCAGAATTTAAATGCCGTTTAAAAATACCAATTGGCTTGTAGAATACAACATTAACAACACCAAAATTGAAAATTGCACAAAGGTGGTTCATATGAACTTAATTTGTAGAAAGAAGGATGACACCCCTTTATGATTAAAAATTTAACTCCATAATCTTCAGTTTGCAGCGTCCAATTCTTAAACTACACTGGACTTCCCTAGAAGGCCAGCATTTTAAAACAGGTGTAAGCAGCAAGAACTATTGATTCCAACAAATTTCATGCATGGCTTATCAACTGTCTTGTATGTTAAAAAGAGGGCTTCTTGCTTTTAGCGGCCACTTACTCCCTACTTTCAGCCACGGATACGGCAGTCATGTTGCTATTGGTTAAATTGTACTTTCTCTGCATGTTTGTTCACACCACGCCATGGCGACGTCTACAGACTCGTTCGCATGTCGTTCAAAGGATATGAAGGTCTCGGGAAAACAGTTCATTTCAACATAATTTCCCTTCGTATAAACTGGAACACACGCATCCCAAGAAATTTCAATTTGAAGAAGATGGCAAAGACAGAGGCTGCATGACAGAGACTAACTGAGGCCACACCTACCAATCATGTCTCACCCTACATGGCTATTGATTTTTCGGCAGTTTTGAAATTTTAGTTGTTCATTGCACTTTTTACTGTTAATCCGAAGACGATTTAGGGCGCAAAACTCGAAAATTCATTCATTAAAGTTACTTTTGATCCCAAAGAACACCTTCAAATTAAAACCATCTCCCTTCTTCTGCTTGCGTAGGACAACCCCGCAAAGGCTCTTTTATCGAAGATGTCCATCTCCAAATAAAAAGCCACACCCCTATCTCCTTGTCGTTAAAGCAACTCTGTGCGCTAAAAGAACCGCATGCGACGTTATCACGCGAGATGATTTAGGACAGAACGTAATTTCGGTTTCCATTATTGCTATTAGCGTAAATTTACCCTTATTCGAAATTCATTCAATTGTAGGCAATCGTGTAATTGCTTACAGTCCCATATTTCTAAGTCCTTAGGATTATTAAATTTTCTTAATGGCCATTAATGCGACCCAAGAAGCGGTTTTTCAATATAAATGATGTTGAATTTTTTTGCGAAATTCGGCAAGGCTCTGTTAAAAGTATCTTAGAACGCAGCTAGAGCTAGCCTTAAAATCGAACGCGGAGAATGGATTGCGGTGAGATTGGCGTTCGGATACACAGTGCAGGACCGAAGTGGACGGATGAGTGTGGAACCAATCGGTGTGGATAACGGCCGTCAGCCATAATAAGTTCAAAATTCGCCAGCTTGTCGACATCTGAGTCTTCCATTCTCACAATGTCATCAGTCGTGTTGACTATTGGCGTGATAATTATTCCGTAATTAGGCTCACTGATACTGTAGCCCATTGTTGGATCAGGAGTCGCCGCTGGAGTCCAAACTGGGTGCAGTTGGGAGACGGAGAAAAGCCGCGACCTC